ACTTGGAAAGCCTGGCCCAATAAGCATGGAATTCCATTGACTTTTTGGATCATGTGTCACGCGTTGACTGATGCTTATGACGTTCTTTGAATCCTGACCCTTGATTTGCAGGCAGCTGGACGCGTGTTCCCTGGATTTTGAGCGTGCATGGTATGCTCTAATGAGGAATCTGCATGGGAATTGATTTGGAAAAATAATATGGAATTATTCAGACCTGGGGTTCGAACCCAGGTCTTTGATGTTACCACTAAGTATCCCTGCCACTGAATCACTTTGGTTTCAATTAATATATAATAACGCGTAAATAATATAAAAAGAAAATGCTAATGCCTTGGAATTCCGCGCGAAATTCAAATGGACCTGTCACCAATGGACACGTCTTCGTCTCCTTCCCCTTCCCTGTAAAATAAAACTAATGGGCAACGGTTTTTGATCGTGGCTTTAGGGGGTTTACAAAAAAATAGCGAATAGCCATATATGAAACATAAATTGGGCGCGATGACATGTTCTTCTTCGTCTCTAAGCCCTGAATTCAACCATGGTATCCAGAAGTCCTAATTTTTCTTGTATTGGGAAACCCTCTTTTTGAATTCCTGAAACCCTAAAACGCATACATGGTATAATCACATAGATCACGAAAAAATGCAATTAAAAGTAACAGTTAGCTTCAAAACTTGATGATGAACACGAATCAGCCATTAATTTTTACAAATAATGCCTAGAATGGGATGCACGATTATGGAATTTCTTGGATGCAGTTTTAGTTACAGGTACCAATTCTTTGCGCTTTTATTGTTGTTTTTGATTGGAGTACGATCAGGAATTCACAAGGAAGCTTTTGCAAAAGGAATGGAGCTTTGAATCAGTCTCTAGGGTGGATTTCAGAATTGGATTTTTTGAGAAATTTTGCAAGTTTGTAATGAGGTTCTGAGCGCAGCTTGCAGTCTTTTAGCCATTAGGTCTTGTTCTAATACTTGTAAGGAAGCAATTAGGTCAACAATTTCAACCAAAATCTCTTGCAATTATGATTTCATATATTTGATTTTGAAAGATCTTTTTTCATATCTTTTCATGTGCAACTTGGTTCAAATCTGATCAAAACTTATCAAAACTTGCCATAATCCATTAAGCACGAAATATTGACATGATAATGTGCATAAAAAGATTTTTTAAGTTAAGGTTATATTTTTCATGAATTAAAATGATTTAAATGAATATAAATTAATATTAATTCAAATAAATAATTAAAAAATATGAGAATACTTCCCTTTGGGCCTAGTGGTCGTGCATAGGCTTGGCATGAAGAAATTTGGAAGAAAAATGGGCCCATTTGCATTTTTAGGCCTTTTGCATCAATGTTGACTTTTCAAAATTCCTAAAAATTTCCCAACTTCCACAAGGCATAACTTGGTCAATTTTTAAGCTTTTCACATGTTCTTGGACATTTTGGAAAGGTCTTTGAGTCCTTTAACCAATGCCTTTGGTCCCATGTCATTTTGATTTACCAATCTCAAGTTATGGCCTTTGACTTAAAGTCACTTTTTGTTGACTTTTGAAAATGACCTATAATGTTGAAATTGATAACTTTTTGTGAGAGCATTTCTTGGACTTGGAACATGAAGATGAATTGTAGGAAATGTCTTTCTCTTCAAAATGAGCTTTGGATGGAATTTTTCTGATAATCCATGTGAAAGTTATGCCCTGGTCAATTTCAGTTGACTTTTTCAGCTGTCCAAATATAGCAACTTTTGCATCTTTGATGATTTCTGAGCCAAATCTTGAGAATCATGATCAAGCATTGATCAAATGATGTTTGTGGCTTCAAAATGATATATTGACCAAAAATTTGAACTTTTGACTGCCAAATGACCATTTTGCCCCTACAGTTGACTGTAGTGCAATTTAGGGTTTTGACTGTGCAATTTTGAGCTGAATGCCTTGAAACTTGATATGAGGATACTTGACCATCTTTGTGGGCATATGAGACTTGATTAGGCCTTTGAAAAGTTCATTTGCTTGACCAGAACTCAAACCCTAGTTTTGACTGTCTAGGAGACAGTTGAGCTGCACAACCCTTGGGGACTTTTGTGACCTTGACTTGGCAATTTCTTGATGAATATGGGAGGGCAAATTTTGGGATGCAACAAAACCTATCTACATACAGTGCATCACAGAAAAGTACTTACTTGAAGAAGGATAAATGAATAACGACGATGTTAGATAAAGAACGACGGTGGAAGATGAAGGATACATGGCGAGTTGTGCGGTGGCGTCAGCGATCATAAAGGAAGACATATCGCTGGCAGCAGGGAGAACGGAGAGCGCGAAAATATAAAAGTAAATTATGAGCCTTTGAGCCCTATTTATAGAGCTAACGTGGAATGCGAAACATCGCGTCGGGCAACTCATAAGCCGCCTTTCTCCTCGAAACCTACATGCTTAGTCAATGATGATCCCTATTTCCTAGGCCATCATTGCTATCCCAAAGGTCATGCCACGTGTCTGACAAATGCACTACCTCTTCCCCGTGAGTCGAGTAACAATTAGAACGAAGCCACCTCGAATCCTTGCCGAACTCTGCTCAGGTAAACAATGTACTGACGACACTCTCCGTTATTTAATGAAAGCCCTGCGTCGAGCAGCGCACCTTGCGAAAGAACAAGCTGGACATTAAGTCATAACTCTATCAGAAGCAACGACTTGGGGGGCTCTTGTTCTGGACTGGGTCTGTCCTTGGCCCAACTTCATGTAAGGTCCAATCCAATTATGTCGTCCAATACATGCTGATCGATTCTGCCCTTGATACCGATGGGTAACAACTACTCCCCGCAAGGAGACACAACTCACCACACAGGGAGGAACCCAGTTACCCTCAGGAGGATCATCGCCGGTTAGGAGGACCTCGAGGTCTCGCTCCAATCCTCTCCTCGACCATAAAGGTCCTATCACACAACCTCACGATCAGTAGGAGCATCCATGACGAGCAGAAGCACCTCGCGAGCATCCTCCTCGTAGAGCTGACTATCAACGTCTCTGAATATCACGAAATCTTCGTGGCCCCGAAAAGATCACATCTATATCCTTCTGATCTTGCGGAACAAGCCATCTAGGTAGGAGATCACGTGCGGGTCCCCACTACTCACGTAGGACCTAGAAGTCTCCATGTTGGGCCTGCTTAACCAGTCCAATGGGGAGACCTTGACCCGACGTTGGAGGCTATAAATACCCTCTCTTACGAGAGGGTCAAGTATTGAACATTTCTTACTCATACTTGCTTGCTCATTCCGGAACTTACTTTGACATCAAAGTGTCTTACAAGTACCCCCATCTCACTCTCAAATTCTGCTCGGAGCAAACTATGACGATCCATTCTAATCAAATACGATTATGATTTAAACCTTATAACCGAATATTTTACGCATCCCTATTCAAAATTGCATCATGTTGTAAAAACATCATAGACCATCTTTGAACTCTAAAATAACTACACAAATAATTAGGGATGGACAAATTTAACCATCTGATTGAAACCAACCAATCCATTATTTCTTTTTGTGTAAATAGATCAGATTAGGTCAGATGTCAAGTTGATTCAGTTGCTTAATTTAGGTAGTATAAGATTATTTTTGTCGAACTCGAATGATTATTTTAAACCCGTTAAAAATTGAAACCAACCGAACTTAATTAATATTTATTTTATTTATTTTTATTAATATGTGATTGACTCATTATAAAAGTGAGATTAATAATTTTATAAGATTATTATCATTTTTATTTTTTCTAATAAGTCTATTTGTTTTTTTAATAAAAATTAATTATTTTTTTTCCAGATGAATCATAATCAACTGAATCTTTATTTTAAGCTATGCGATGTTTATAGATTCTCTTCCTTCCATTCCTTTCAAATCCCTTCAAATAAGAGGGAAGTAGGTTCAGAAGAAACTTCCCTCGTCTATCTCCCATCTTTCTTAAAATGTGAGCCAAACACATAAACTATTAAATATTTCATCCTCTTCTCTCCCCTCCCCTTCATTTACTCTCAACAAAACATACCCTTAACCAATTTCAACATTACATATGTAATATAAAATTTTGAGTATTATTTAGTTTGTAGTATAAAATATGATAATGATCAAATTAACGTCAAATGATATTTGAAATATTATCGTATAATAATTTTTTATAATAATAAAAATACAATTTTTCATTAGATTAATCTATAATTTTTGATAATTTTTTTTAAAAAATTAAAAATTTGTAAGTTTTATAAAAGATAAGTATTTTTCATAGATTTATTTAATAAATATTAAACCAATTTGATTTATCTCCCAAATCGATTTAATCGAATTCATAAAATCAAAATTTTATGGATCAAAATTTAACTTTAAACATAAAACCGTAGTTTACATCAAATTTAAATTTTAAGTCTGAAACCAATTTGAACCGATTGATTGTCGAACCTTAAAAAAATAATTAACAAAATTAGAATATAATAAAAAGGTACCCTAAATTTCACTCACCATCGCACTCATAAGCTACCCGAAAATTCACTGTGGCTTTGAAGAACAAAAACTCACTCAAACGCACTCAGAAGATTCTTTCGTTTCTCTACTTTTGATTCCGAAGTTAAACCGAATTTTCACAGTCTTTTGCGTTCACTTCACCATTATCGATGGGTACATATCTTCATTCCTCTTTTCAATACACTGTTCTTTATACATTCTCTCTTTTCAGTTTCTTTACTGTTCTTTATGAATCTGCCATGGATCACCGTCTTCATCACCGCATTTCTTTAATGATTGGTTTTCACTTAGTTTATAACAAGCGGTGCGTGGCAGCATTACATAAATCACCAGCCTATTATAAATTTTATTGCAAATTATGTTTCTTACTTGTTAGTGTTTGTTTGAATCTTATTTGGAACTCGATGCATCTTTTTCTATTTCCGCGATGTTCTTTTTTTACCTGCTCTTATCTTGAACACTCGGTATTTGAAAATAATGGTAACGTGATTTTGTGTGTTCTGTAATAGAATTTTACTTGCATTTTGAACAAGGACTAATGAAAACTACATCAGCTCTGTTCTAGACTGTTTTCTTGGTTTCTTGCTATCTAGGTAACAGATAAGTATTTCATTTTCAGTTATGTGATAATGTTTATCTCATGATTTTCATTATGGTATCCAAATTAAACAGCCCATTGCTAACAAAGATGTGGAATTCCATTTTTCTGATTTTGACACCATGCCTTCGATGTGTATTGACAGATGAAGAGGTTCCGCCGGTGCAAGATGAAGAGGACGAGAAGATGGCTGTCAAAAGGCACTTAAATGTTGTTTTTATTGGTCACGTGGGTAAGTTGATGAATTCTGAAGGTTCTTTTATCATTATGAATTATTAGGTGTTCTTCTGTTTGTTTTGTGTGGAGTTGCTCAAGAAGTATACTGTCATATGTGTATCATTTGATTATAGGGTTTATAGGCGTAAATTTTTCATCACCCCTCCTCCACCCAAGTTATGTCTCTGTGGTCTATAATTATTGCATCATTGTTGAATTAAGATATTATTCTCTACATTCTTTATGTATTTCTGACTGAGCTGTGTAGGGAGAGTTCATAAAATCGGTCTAGCTGCAATGTTTCAATTTTAACATCTGATTAACAAGAGCTCTAGTTAAGTGTGTTTATTAATACCCTCATTCATAGTTTGAGATGGCCAAGGAAGTCTGTAGGTTTAGGGCATTAGAGAATATAAATGCGAATGGGTTTGTTGATGCTTTAGGGGAGGATATATCATAGCTAATAACTGAATCAAAATAGTTGAAGATAAATCAACTTTAATGGATATACACTTTTTTACTGTACTATATATGTTAAAAATGGATATACACTTTGTTGATGCGAATGGTTTTTTTTACTGTACTATATATGTTAAAAATGAAGCTTATACACAATCATGGATGTTAATTGTGCATGTGCTAGGGAGTTCAATGACCTAAAAATAACCGGATATGGATAAGTGCAACTCAACCAGGCCCCTAGGTTTTGTGAATTATACTCTACAAGGGCTAGGAAGGGAATTGCTCAATGTAAATGAGGCGAGTGTTAGCTGGCCTAGTTAGTTATGGGGTCACAGGAACTATTACTTAGGGGAGTATAGCGTGGTAGTTAGTTAGATGCACAACTAATATTATTGTTCTTCAACATCATATGTGTTTTAGACATTGATTGCATACTACATGAGGAGTTACATAAGTTGCATCTTGTTTCCAGATGCTGGTAAATCAACAACAGGAGGTCAGATACTTTTCCTCAGTGGTCAGGTCGATGAAAGGACTATCCAAAAATACGAGAAAGAAGCCAAGGAAAAAAGTAGAGAAAGCTGGTAAGTTCATTTACTTTTCTTGATTGTGGATGCCACATTTATTTACTGCTCTGCTTTGCTTCCTTAGTATTTGTTTAATTATTTTATCATTAAGGTAGTGTTCTTAGAGCTACTGAACTAGTATGATTTGTGATTGCGCATTGGTCTGGTTTGCTGATACATAGGGTCTTACCCTCTTGCAGTTTACAGGTTATTTACTGATATATTTAGTTTTCCTGCATAAGGCTATAGATCCAACCCAATTACATTTTAACTGAAATTGGGCCAGTAAGAATACTTTTGGACCAAAATCAGTCTGACACTACTTTTTAGACAACAGTTTGGCAAGCATGGTTCCTGTGAATGGAAATCAGGGCTGCCATCATCCTGCTTTCTTATATCAGGACTGCTAGCTCAAATTTATTGGACTGGAATTGGGCCAACCAACCCAATCAATCTCTGGCTGGAATTAGGCCTGCTAGTTAGATTAATTATTCGCGTTGAAATCGGACCATATATAATTTTGTTCGTTTTAGGTTTTAAATGCCCCAAATGACAGTTTTCTTGACGGAGAAACTTTTTGATGCGTTGATAGAAATGTATACCAAACATGTAACGAACTCGATCACCTTTTTGTTTTTGTATAATCAGGCTCGATCACCTTTTTGTTTTTGTATAATCAGGCTCGATCACCTGTCAGTCAGTTCTAATGGTATTCCTAAATTTGTTCTTATGGTTGTTTAAACAAGTAACATACGTTGCCAACCAAACTTGAGGAGATTATTTTAGACCTAAAAAAGATGGCTTCAACTTACACACCAAACCTGACTTCCCTTGAGCAACTAACCCATGTATCTCTATTTCAAGATCACGAACAAATGTTTTTTTTTATATCGAGTTAACAAACCAGTCATTGGCCAACGCGATTCACTAAGACGCATTTGTTAAGACTGTTTCTCTCAGAATATATCAAGCTCCCTGTCCTTGGTTCTATTATGAAGAACATGACTCAAACTATGAAAGTGTAGGATGTGTTCATATTGTTCATTTTTTTATATTGTTAGGCTAACTCTTTTGATCGGGGAATCATTTCCCTCTGTGAGTATCATTGATACTGAAACGTACTGTTGATCGATGATTTGAAATTTAAATGATATAGGTATATGGCTTACATAATGGACACGAATGATGAGGAGAGGGCCAAGGTATGAATGAATCTGCTGACAAGTTCAAATCTCGTTCTATTTAATGTAGTTTTCATTTTCACATGTTTGTTATATAATTTTGTATTTATATAATCAGGACAATGTTGTGCTGATTGCAGGGAAAGACAGTTGAAGTTGGAAGAGCACACTTTGAGACAGAGACATCAAGGTTTACGATTTTGGATGCACCTGTGAGTTTTTTTATATCGAGTTAACAAACCAGTCATTGGCCAACGCGATTCACTAAGACGCATTTGTTAAGACTGTTTCTCTCAGAATATATCAAGCTCCCTGTCCTTGGTTCTATTATGAAGAACATGACTCAAACTATGAAAGTGTAGGATGTGTTCATATTGTTCATTTTTTTATATTGTTAGGCTAACTCTTTTGATCGGGGAATCATTTCCCTCTGTGAGTATCATTGATACTGAAACGTACTGTTGATCGATGATTTGAAATTTAAATGATATAGGTATATGGCTTACATAATGGACACGAATGATGAGGAGAGGGCCAAGGTATGAATGAATCTGCTGACAAGTTCAAATCTCGTTCTATTTAATGTAGTTTTCATTTTCACATGTTTGTTATATAATTTTGTATTTATATAATCAGGACAATGTTGTGCTGATTGCAGGGAAAGACAGTTGAAGTTGGAAGAGCACACTTTGAGACAGAGACATCAAGGTTTACGATTTTGGATGCACCTGTGAGTTTTTTTATATCGAGTTAACAAACCAGTCATTGGCCAACGCGATTCACTAAGACGCATTTGTTAAGACTGTTTCTCTCAGAATATATCAAGCTCCCTGTCCTTGGTTCTATTATGAAGAACATGACTCAAACTATGAAAGTGTAGGATGTGTTCATATTGTTCATTTTTTTATATTGTTAGGCTAACTCTTTTGATCGAGGAATCATTTCCCTCTGTGAGTATCATTGATACTGAAACGTACTGTTGATCGATGATTTGAAATTTAAATGATATAGGTATATGGCTTACATAATGGACACGAATGATGAGGAGAGGGCCAAGGTATGAATGAATCTGCTGACAAGTTCAAATCTCGTTCTATTTAATGTAGTTTTCATTTTCACATGTTTGTTATATAATTTTGTATTTATATAATCAGGACAATGTTGTTGTGTTGATTGCAGGGAAAGACAGTTGAAGTTGGAAGAGCACACTTTGAGACAGAGACATCAAGGTTTACGATTTTGGATGCACCTGTGAGTTTTTTTATATCGAGTTAACAAACCAGTCATTGGCCAACGCGATTCACTAAGACGCATTTGTTAAGACTGTTTCTCTCAGAATATATCAAGCTCCCTGTCCTTGGTTCTATTATGAAGAACATGACTCAAACTATGAAAGTGTAGGATGTGTTCATATTGTTCATTTTTTTATATTGTTAGGCTAACTCTTTTGATCGGGGAATCATTTCCCTCTGTGAGTATCATTGATACTGAAACGTACTGTTGATCGATGATTTGAAATTTAAATGATATAGGTATATGGCTTACATAATGGACACGAATGATGAGGAGAGGGCCAAGGTATGAATGAATCTGCTGACAAGTTCAAATCTCGTTCTATTTAATGTAGTTTTCATTTTCACATGTTTGTTATATAATTTTGTATTTATATAATCAGGACAATGTTGTGCTGATTGCAGGGAAAGACAGTTGAAGTTGGAAGAGCACACTTTGAGACAGAGACATCAAGGTTTACGATTTTGGATGCACCTGTGAGTTTTTTTATATCGAGTTAACAAACCAGTCATTGGCCAACGCGATTCACTAAGACGCATTTGTTAAGACTGTTTCTCTCAGAATATATCAAGCTCCCTGTCCTTGGTTCTATTATGAAGAACATGACTCAAACTATGAAAGTGTAGGATGTGTTCATATTGTTCATTTTTTTATATTGTTAGGCTAACTCTTTTGATCGGGGAATCATTTCCCTCTGTGAGTATCATTGATACTGAAACGTACTGTTGATCGATGATTTGAAATTTAAATGATATAGGTATATGGCTTACATAATGGACACGAATGATGAGGAGAGGGCCAAGGTATGAATGAATCTGCTGACAAGTTCAAATCTCGTTCTATTTAATGTAGTTTTCATTTTCACATGTTTGTTATATAATTTTGTATTTATATAATCAGGACAATGTTGTGCTGATTGCAGGGAAAGACAGTTGAAGTTGGAAGAGCACACTTTGAGACAGAGACATCAAGGTTTACGATTTTGGATGCACCTGTGGATATGAAAAAGGTGGTCAAACCCGTGAACATGTTCAGCTAGCAAAAACACTGGGTGTGTCTAAGCTCCTTGTTGTTGTTAATAAAATGGATGATCCTACAGTGAAGTGGTCAAAAGAAAGGTCTTCTCTCACTCTCATCTTGTCTCTAACGGCAACTCCTCACTAAGGGTTTTTGTTACAATTATAACTGATTTTCTGTTTCTGTGCCTTAGGTATGATGAAATTGAGTCGAAGATGATACCATTTCTTAAGCAATCGGGTTACAATTTGAAGAAAGGTACGCTGAAACTTTACTTTTGACTTAATTGTCCCATCATGTTTTACTTATGATGCATGGCCACAATGCGAGTATCAAATATTATACAAGTGCGATACAGTGACAGGTTGATCCATAAGAAATATAAGATGCGATGCATTTATATTACATATATGAAAGAAGTTCACAAAATATGGTAAATGTGTTTTTGTAATTTAAAATCCAAACTAGAAAGACCAAAAATAATTCATTAGTGAAATGATTGAAATATCTTAATACATATAAAAGTAGGATAGTCTCCTACAGAAGTTGGGGCACTTGGGCTTCTATTAGTTCATATAATATTACTATTCTATCTCAATGTAATGAATCTTCATTTTAAGTAAAATCAGGAATTGTTTTGTCTCAACTGGTTATCCTCTAATTAGCACATGAAGTGAACACAGCTTGATTGGTTTTAGCAATTAAGGGCTGAGATTTTGGGGTGTTCAGGTTGTGCCACTGCCACATAAGTTTCCCTTTTCCCTTTTCTTCAAGCCTTGTCTTCGGGTAGGCTTTTAGAAACGTTTGTGTAAAAAATGGGCCTGTGAAAGAAAGATCTCTTTTATAATCAACATCTGGTTAATAATCTCATATTCTTTACTAGTCTCAACCAGTTCTGTTCTGTGGGTTGTGAAGGGAAGTTATTATTCCCTCCATCTCATAAAGTGTCTCATTTGCACATTTTTTTGTCTCAAAATAATTGTCTTTTTACAATACAGCAGCATTTTTCCACTAGTATTATCCTTATTTATTAACTTTCACTCTATTAACTACTCTACTAAATATAGTTAATAAGAGTATTATAATAAATGATTCTAATTTTATTTATTAAAACTAGATGAATCAATATATATCTCAGTTGTCGATTTATTTACAAATTACAAAAATAGAATTTGATGTTACTATTATCATTTGAAAAATAATGAAGATGTGTTTGTACTTGTAGTCATTCCCAATTTCTACACCTAATGACAATCATGTGGATGTTGAATTCACCAATATTTCAATTTCTCCAACCTTCATATTTGGACAGTCGGGGTAGTGGGCATGGAATTAAGTAACATTACAACTATAGTTTTTCATATCACAAGAATAAAGTCTAATGTTACCACAAAAAAATCATTTATTCTCTTTCAGTACAGAAAGTAAACACACACGAAAAACACTACTTTTTGATATAATTCTTAATATAATTTTCATGTCTCAATTATCTATAATCTATATATGTAATTCTTGTGTCTCAATTATTTACAATGATAAATGTCACAAAAAATAAATTACAATTTAAATATGTAAATTTCACCAAAGCTGGTCCATGCAAAAAAATTAATATTATTAGAGTCATTAAAAAAACCACAATGAAATCAGCCTAAAACCATAGTATGAGAAAACTCATTCTAAAATTAGACGGTGAAATAAAGAATTATCTAGCTGTTTACCTTGGGTTTTGGTAAACAACCGCTGATCCTCCAAATGGTTACTTATTTGGTTACTCGCAGGATCGATCAGATTGATCCTAGGACATAGGTTGATTTTGAAGTTTGACTGAATTGGATAAGGCTTTAAATAAAGAGGTTTTAAATAAATTGCATGAAGGAAAGACTTGGTAAAATAAACAAGGCTTTAAAGTAAAAGGTTCGACAAGAATATAAAGGAGAAAGCAAGTAAATTTCTGGAAAAGTAAATGACTTTAATTGATAAAATTGGTGTTTCACACATACATTTCTCAACAATTCTTTCTCACACGCTGGGTACTCGAATCTATATGAGTGACTTTGTATAGAATTGTGAACACACGCGAGAAACTACATGACTACTATTATTTATACTAAAACATCCCAAGTAACCGTCGGGCAGTTACACTGCTTCGAGATCAATCCACTTGGCACGTTCTCCATGCTCGACGCTCCAGATCCTTGCACGTTTGCACGTGGTAACTGTTGGAAACCGTTTTCCCTCCAAACGTTTGAATTTCAAACTGCTCCACTCTGAACCATCGAACACTTTCGTCGTGAGACATCTTCGACGAGAAACTCCTTCGACGTCGAAGGCAACCAGCCTTCTTCCTTGGAAGAAATCTTCTAAGTACTTTGCCATCTTTCGACGGGCATTTCGACAGACTTAGCCAGTCGAAGACATCCTTCAGCTTTGATGGCTGACATCACCAAAACAAAGGTGTCGAATTTAAGAGCCAACAAATTGCCCCCCAAGAATGCCTTATTTCGACTCTGAAAGAAAAAGGCATTCTTTGAAACGCCATTCGACACCTGTCTTTCCACGCTTAGTCACAAATTAACTTGTGCACTTTTTGTTGTTTTCTACCAACTATTGGCAATCCCAAGAAAACCATCATTGTTCCGTACCTAGGACGTCACTTTCAGTACGGCGTGCAGTACCAAACGTCATTTCAGAATTTGTCATTATGACAATTCTCAAAAACGAGGACGCACGCTGCGTCCCTCTATTTCTGCAGAAACGGCTAAAACAACAGGGGGCTGCCACGCGTCCCACTAACTCCTGCAGCATTAAATGGCATTTAATGTCCTCGTTTTTGGGGATTTTTCCCCACTACTATAAATAGCAGTGAATATCCCATTGTGGGACTTTTTACGCCATCTAGCCTTTCAAACTTCTCTGTTTTCATACAAGCTTGTTATCTTTGCAGAAATTCTTCCTCTTTCACTTCGTCTTCAACCTCATTTCAAACTCAACACTAATCCATGGCATCTGGTTCTACTGCTCCTAGTGCTAACGCACCAACTGAACATGCTAAACCCAAGGTTTTCGTCACTGCTCCGGTAGTAAATTCTACAGGCAAACGAAGGGTTCCTGAACCTTCTGACATCGCCGTTCGCGATGCTTACTCGCGCCACTTGATGATCCCGGTTGGATACTCCAACCAGATCTTTGCAATGTCTGGCCCCATGAATCCAAGTATCTCTGAGGCTCTGAAGATCAAGAGCTATTTCCCGGTGGTTGAGAAACTCAAACCGGTTGCATGCGCCAAGAAAGACGCAGAAGACAATGAAGACCCTGCACATGAAAAAATTGACCTCCGTTTCTTCAACAGAGGTGTTAGGGCCTTCAGGTCTTGCCCTAACCTTACCCCTGATTACGTTGCTTGGCTAGTAAAGATGGAGAAGCACCAAACTTCGATCTGGAAGGATATGGGGATCTTCGACCTAGTGATGCTGTCGAAGACAGGTTTGAACTATTCCCCGGAGATGCTGATAGCTTCTCTGCTGTTCTGGGACTACTCCCACTTTACTTTCCATCTCCCCTGTGGGATGCTAACCCCCACACTCTTCGATGTGGCCGCTATTACTGGCCTTCGACCCACCGGGGATTACTTCGATCCGGAGGAGATGTCGGAGGACCAAATTGGCTTCTCTGAGACCAAACCAACATACACCACTTTCATCAACCATTATCATGACAGGTCGACAGATGCTGTGTCGGATGTCGAACACATAGCGTTTCTAGCCTTATGGCTGACTCGCTTTGTATTTTGCTCGAAGTCTTTACAGGTGACCAAAAAGATGGTCACTCTTGCTACTCAACTGCATCATCGCCAAAACGTCTGTTTGGCAGAACTGATTCTGGCTAGCCTCTATGATTCGATCAGCAATGGGGCAACTCTTCTGAAACATATCGAGGACAGGGCCAGTTTGCTACTTGCTGGGCCTTTTTGGCTGCTCCAACTGTGGCTCAACGCCACTTTCGAATCTTTCTTGCCCAAGAAGGTTCAGATAAATGAACAGGCTCCAGCGATAGCGAATAGACGCGTCGAAGGAACCAGGCTGGCTCTGCTGACACCTATGGACGATGGACTGGAGTTTCAGCAAACCTTCACCAACTTCGTTCTAATGTTTGCTCGAAGGAAGGAGTTTGTTTCAACTATGGCTCCATTTGCTCGACGGCAGGTAGGCCCAGCATGGTTCACAAGGCCACATCCAAGGACGTCGAGTGGTCCTAATGTCGATGAACATACAATACTTTGGGAGACGTTCCTTACACCAAGGATCATGCCTCTTCGATTCAAGAGCTCAAAGACTCATTTGAGTCTGATTGCATACCAACCAAACCTGGTATCTCGCCAGTTTGGTATTATCCAAACCCTACCTTCTTCGATTTTTCAAAGAGAGAAGTCCATGCTGTACTTCTGCAATGATTACACAGAAGAAGCTGCCATCAAGCATATCGGAAGATATGCTGGTCGAACAGTCCTCTCGTTGTTTGACTACCAGCTCAATTTTCTTTGTTCACCATCCTTCGAGGAGTGGTGGAAAAGCTATTATGCTGAGTACTTCTTCGACGAGAAGGACTTCATGGATGAGCTGCAGAAGTCTTTTGTCCTTGTGTTGGACAAAATAAAGAAATGTAAGTTCATGCTCTCACATTACTTTTTGTCTTTCTTTCGACTGCTAGCCTGTTAACTTTTTATTTGTTTTCAGTTGTTCGAAAGCCTGTAGCCAAGAAGGCTACAGAAGGCCAACAGGGAGGAGGCCCTTCAACAAAACCTCCACCGCCGGCGAAGACTACAGCGCCGGCGAAGACCATAAGCAACCAACAGGGGGAAGGCTCTTCGAAGAAGCCTTCTATATCGGTAACCAGATTTTCATCATTTTTCCTGGCTTTCGACTTTTCACTTTCGATGCAATTATTAAATCGAATTCCCATTGGTTTTCTAGGCACCTTCGCCCAAGAAACGGCCAGCACTGGTGGTCGAATCTGGGAGTGATGAAGAAAGTGACTCTCCTCCTGCTCCTCTGAAGAGGCGAAAGTTGACGAAGGATGCTTCTGTTCCTGCTCCTGCTCCTGAAGGTCGAACCGTCAGAATAAAGGTTGCTGTGAGAAAGCCTAGGCCACCTCCAGTGATCATCGAGGAGCCAACTGAGGAGGAACTAAACATTCTTCTTAACAAGCCTGTCGAAAGTGACAATTCCAGCCCTGGGGCTGAAGCTAATCCACAGGTAATC